TCTGGAACGCATTCGTACAGCATTATGTCAACGAGATTAAGTCAGTTGATCAAATGAAAATGCTGGTCCACAGATGGCTCCAACTTCATCCTGTTCCCCACTTTTAAGTTTCATAACAATAAAAATGCTTTCAAATGAGCTGATGTAGGTAACAGCTCTTAGCTTGTCAATAAAGTTAGGAATCCTTAACCTGTAAATAGCTTGTCAATAAAGCTAGGGATCCTTAACCTAACCTTGTCAAACCTTGTCAAAAAAAGCAGGGGTCACAAAAGCTATAGCACCAGCCAATGATAAAGTGTAGCATTAACAGTGTGGCAAACAAGTTAAGCAATTAAGCAATAGAAAAAGGACGACACAAAACTCTTCTAATGTTGTTGGAGGTATATAGGGCCACTGACAACATATGCTGCCCTTTATTTCTTTATTTCTTTACATTCTCCACAATAACCACATTATTTCTTTACATTCTCCACAATAACCACATTATTTCTTTACATTCTCTATTATGTTTTTATACAATATTTCTTATTTATAAATTATGTACATTTTTTCAGTGTGACTAGTGGTGTTTCAGCATGACTAGTAGTATGACTAGTGGTGGTGGCCGCTGCCGCCACCACCACCATAAGGCTCATGCTGTCAGTGGCCCTTACAAAACCACCAACAACCACACCACCACTAGTCACATAAGTAATGACATTTTTTATTCATTCTCAAGTATATATATGTATCATGTTTCTATGTTGTTAATATTGTTTATGCCATATTAGATGAATTGTGATAGATAAGTAAGTTGTAGAGTTGAATTAGCACCAACATGAGTCCTCAATAAAGATAAAAGTGATGCTAAATGTTCATTTATTCATTTCATTAGCCATTTTATTTAGTTCTCATTGTTTTGTGTATGTAAAACTATAGTTAATCTTTAACAATTGTATTTTTTGTCAATATTTTTGGGTGTCTGAAACAGATTAATAGTATTTACATTAATTCTTACAGGAAATATTATTTCGGTTTTCGGCCTTTTCAGATTTAGGCCAGCCTTCTGGAATGGATTACGGCCAATAACCGAGGGCCTACTGTAATCAATCATTGGAATAGCTTAAACCAAGACCAACCATTTTTGGTTTTATTTTATTAGCAGAGAATTGGGGGAAAACTGTCAAATTTTGGTGATGGATTCAAAATGGAGAGCAAGTGTGATATATATTACAGGGAAGGTTACTTTAACCCTTTCAGGGTCCCCAGGTTCTCTCTCAGACTTTTTCTCAGGGTTGCCCAAATTTCAAAAAAGAAAAAAAAATTATTTTTTTCTTATGAAAAAATAGAGAATCTTTTCCCGATCATAATGACACCAAAAGTATGAAATTTGATGGAAAACTTACGGAATTATGCTCTTGTGAAGTTAGCGGTCTCGATGATGTTTACGCATCGGCGATTTTGCCCACTCTGAGCCCTATTTTCAGCCAATTCTAGTGTACTAGTTGACAGAAATCATAGTTATTTTGCTAGAACTCCATTTTTTCTATCGAACAAGTACAAGAAACCACCCATTTACCAATTTCAACTATCCAATAAAGTGGTCAGAATTTAGCAATTTTGCCAATTCCACACAAATTTCAGAAGATGCCAATTTCCAAATAGGGTCCAGAATAAACAAGAAACACATTCCTGGCACTAAAATAACATTTCCTCTGTTCATTAGTCACGTCCCCACGCCCCTCTTACATTCTTTTGCTTTCCACTTTGAATTTTTATTCTCACAAAAAATAGAAGATTTACTGTTATGCAGACTACTGCATTAGTGTAGAAATGGTATAAATAATATCGGCGCACTTGTGAAAGAATATTAGACTCACCAGTTGACATGTATTGGACGCTTAGCATAATTTGTTTACTTTTGAACTTTGGTAAAAATCGAACATTTCTGCTACTTTGAGCTCAATTTCGAGGTACTTTTCATTGTAAAACCAGTCAAAATCATCTCAATTTCTGTAGTATGTCTTCCATTCTATAAAATGAGACCAGGAAAACTAGAATACAACAATAAATGGGTTTGCGTAGTCAGTGTGCATGGTATAAAAAAAATCCTGCAGCGCACAGTGCATAATGAGAAAAAAAAAACTCCTACCGTGTTTTTTGTTTAAAACAGTGACTTTGCACTGTATTTTCATATGGTATTTATGGTTGTATTCTAGTTTTCCTGGTCTGATTTGTAAAATGGAAGACATATTACAGAAATTGAGATGATTTTGATTGGTTTCACAATGAAAAGTACCTTGAAATTGAGTTCAAAGTAGCAGAAATGTTCGATTTTTGCCAATGTTCAAAAGTAAACAAATCATGCCACACATCCAATACACGTCAACTGGCAAGTCTAATATTCTTTCACAAGTGCGCTGATATTATTTATACCTTTTTTACACTAATGCAGTAGTCTGCATAACAGTAAATCTTCTATTTTTTTGTGAGAATAAAAGTTCAAAGTGGAAAGCAAAAGAAATGTAAGAGGGGCCTAGGGACGTGACAAATGAACAGAGAAAATGTTATTTTAGTGCCAGGAATGTCTGTCTTGTTTATTCTGGACCCTACTTTGAAATTGGCATCTTTTGAAATTTGTGTGAAATTGGCAAAATTGCCAATTTCTGACTACTTTAATGGATAGTTGAAATCGGTAATTGGTTCGTTTCTTGTACTCAGTCAATAGAACAAATGGAGTTCTAACGAAATAGCTATGATTTCTGCTGACCGGTGCATTGGAATTGGCCGAAAATAGGGCTCAATGTGGGCGAAATCGCCGATGCGTAATCATCATCGAGACTGCTTACTTCATGAGAGCATAATTCCGTAAGTTTTCCATCAAATTTCATACTTTTGGTGTCATTATGATCAGGAAAGGATTCTTTATCATTTCATAAGAAAAAATCAATTTTTTTTTTTTTTCAAAAAATTTTGACCCTGTGAACAAGTTTAGGAGAGCATCTCTCAACCCTGAAAGGGTTAAATTGAAATTTGTTGAAAGCAAATTGCAATCTGATAACTGAATGAGTGCTCTCTTGTGACCAACAGATAGAACAAAAGACATATTAGGTTAATAAGACTGGATCTGGTCTAAATTAGGCCTCAAAGCGAGCAAAACTGCTGTAGTATAAAGTGCTTCCTGCCCTCCAAATTCTACCATTTTAAAGGATATACACTACATATACTTTTTTCCTCCATGAGGAAGTGAAACAGAATTCTTTCTCTGCAAGCCATGCATGTCGTAAGAGGTGACTACATGCCAAGAGCAAGGGGCTAGTAACCCCTTCTCCTGTATACATTACTAAAGTTAAAAAGAGAAACTTTTGTTTTTATTTTGGAGCCACCCTGCCTTGGTGGGATATGGCCAGCTTGTTGAAAGAAGACAATGGCAACACAAAAGGAAAATGTCAAAGAGAAAAGTTAAAGAAATTGTTCAAAACAAGGGGGTGTATCTACTGAATACTGTACAATATGTAGTTTAATATTTAGGGATATATTAGTACAAATTACTAAATTCAAAAAGAAAAACTTTTGTTTTTCTTTTTAGGTCACCCTGCCTTGGTGGGATACTGCCGATTTGTTGAAAAAAAAATAGTATGAATGTTTGTGAAGCATTAGCATGATTTTAATCAGTTTATTCATATCAAGGATCATTTTCTAAAATAAAATTATAGTAGATCATTATATTACATGGTAGTTACGTTCCTGAAAATGCTGTGTTAGGTAAATCTGTGTAAGATAAACTTAAGAACTTACGAGAAAAATAGCGTTATGTTCCTGGGAGCCCCCAAAAAAGCCAAACAATTTTTCTTATACCACCAGAAATTACAAAAATAAAAGTGTTATGTAATTGTTATTCATTGTTGTGATGTATTATGCTGTTTTTACTGCTTAAGACTACTAATGCAACAGAAATAATAGTATTTCTTACCTTAAATTGTGGGTGCTGGTGTTTGTGGATGATTGTGAAGAGAGTGGAGAGTTATGCTGTGGCCCTACTGGGCTGAGGTGGATGGTAGAGGTTCTGGTACTGAAGTCTATGGTTGTACTGGTGTGCGCATAAATTCTGTAACGGATTTCTGGGCTATTTTACCCTGTAGTACATTATACAGCTGACAGTAAGGCATCAGCTGCTCTTGACACTATTTCAGACCACTGCTTCTAGATATGTCAGGGACCTCTTCAGTGAAAAAGTCTAACTTTAAGTCAATATAGTCAAGTCAGTCAGTCAAGTCAGTCAGTCAGTCAAGCCAGTCAGTCAAGCCAGTCAGTCAAGTCAGTCAGTCAATTATGTCAGTCAGTCAAGTCAGTCAGTGAGACGACATCCTGGGTTATTCACTACATAAACTCGTATATTTACCTCATTCTTATTAATTGCACAAACTGATGCTTCATTAATTAAGGCCATAGGCTCTCTCTTGTCTATCTTTATTTTCTTCATAACTCCAAGACTTAAATGCTTAAACCTTTTCTTACCACTTTCAGCAACATTCATATGCCTACTGGGTGCCATGATTGCTTAGCAGACAAAAGATATGGCAATTAAAAGGTCAAAACATGATTCACATATACAGCTGGCTCCTAGGAGAGAATCATAGACACGTATGCACGAAGGCTGGGATGGGGGTGTTAGGGGGGGGCAGGGGATGGCGGTAGGTCTCCCTCGCTGACACAATAGTCTGACCCACAGCCAGGTCAGCCTGAGCTGGGAAAAATTTTTCCCTGCCCACTAATGGAACTGTGTTAATTTGATGAAGTGTTGTACAAAATTATACCGCAATTTTTCAATAGTGTAATAACCAAAACGTGGCCAATAAATCAGTGTAATATAACGGTCTACTGTACCTCCATATTATTTTGTATCACTGTACAATACTGCAAAGTATCATAACATCAATGGCATACAATACTGATAGATTAAAGATTTAGACACGTGTAACATCTGGGTATCTTTATTTGTGAAGTTATCCAGATGTTGCACATGTGATTAATTCTTCAATATTCTCAAGATTCCTGTACAACTCATACATAATTACCCAAATGAAGAACAAATCACTTACCCCTTTATGCTTCTTGTGCAGCTCATCATTATACTTGACTACTTCCTTAACTAAGTCCTGTACACGTTGGACGGTGTGGGAGTGTATACTGGACAATTTTTCTGACGACTGCCTCAACACCACAAAAATTGGGGCACACGTCCCTTTTTCAGTGTTAGTACTGGCTTTGTTTGCAAGCTTCACTAAGGACTTGGAATAAGTCTCATCAATTGACCATCTGAAAAAAAAAAAAAAAGTCCTGTGAAAATGCACGTACAGTACAAACAAGTTTAAAAAACTCACAATAAGGCTGAATGACTATGCAAAAATGACCAATAACAGCAGACACCAATTTAATACAGTTACACACAGTACAAAAAGTCCTATTGGAAATGTGTTCTGGAAACTGTGTAAAGGGTGGTAACACTGGACTGTAGGTAGACATGTTAAAATGGGAAGTCAGGTCAACACTGAGCACTATGGAACACTGCACAAGTATGCAAGGACACCAAGAGAGAATTCAATTTCAAAGGTAAAGAAAGAGACATACAGTGGACCTCCGCCTTACGATATTAATCCGTTCACGAGAGCTCATCGTATGGCGAATTAATTTTCCCCATAAGAAATAATGGAAATAAAATTATTCCGTGCAAGACACCACAAAGTATGAAAAAAAAATTTTTTTTGCCACATAAAATATTAATTTTAACACATGCAAACTTAAGAAGACATGCACTAAGAATACATGACGCTTACCTTTATTGAAGATCTGGTGATGATTGATGGGATGGGAGGAGGGGAGTGTGGAAGCTGTTATTGTTTAGAAGGGGAATCCCCTTCCATTAGGACCTGAGGTATCTAGTCTTTTTCTGGGGTTACTTCCCTTCTTTTAATGCCACTAGGACCAGCTTGAGAGTCACTGGACCTCTGTCGCACAACATATCTGTCCATAGACACCCTTCTCCTGCATTATTCTTACTGAGACCTGGCTTAAGCAGGACACAATTGATATCTACCCACTACCAGGATAACAGCAATCAACAACTGCAGACCATACCAAGTTGGGGGTGGTATTGCAATCTATTACTCTAACCAACTATCTTGTATTAGCACTAATTGCTTTAGTGATGAATATGGGGAATACATTTTTGCTAATTTTACTGTAAAAAACTCAAGATGCCTATAGCAATCGGTGCCATATACCGGATACCCCACACAAACATCCCAAACTTCAGCGAGAATCTAAAGTCACTAATAACAAACAGACAAATGAACAAGCACCACCTTCTCTTAGCTGGAGACTTCAATATCAACCTTGGCCTACCAGATGATCAGACTAACTGATTTCATGAACAATATGAACAACACACTTCTCATACCAACAATAACTAAACCAACCAGGCTGACTGAGACAAGTGCAACCATAATAGACCACATATGGACCAATATACTAGCCCCCCTTAAATTAGGGATAATCACAGACAGCACTACTGACCACTACCCAACCTTCCTCTTAACAAACATTAGTAAGCCACCACTCGAATACAACAAAGTTTCGTTTAGACTCCATGACGAGGCCTCAATAAGGAATTTCACAGCAGACCTAGAGACTGTTGACTGGCCTACAGAATTCTCCAATGCCAATGGTACTGACGATTGGACAGACATTTTTCTTAACAAAATACTTAGACTATACAACAAACATTGTCCTATAAAAATGAAACAGATCACGAATAAACAGCTTGGTTGCCCATGGCTAACCAGCAGCATTCTGAAATCCACTGATAAGAAACACCAATATGAAAAGCAATACAGACAGGGCTTAATACACAAAGATATTCTTAAACAATATTCAACAGTTCTCACCAAATTAATAAAGAAAGCCAAACAACTGTACTACTCCAGCAGATTCACTGACACAAGAGGAGATATAAAACAGACCTGGAAAACACTTTCCCAGATTCTGGGGACCCACAAACTGAAAAAAACCAAGAATATTGTTCTAACTAAACCTCATGAAACACCACTGCATCCCACTGATACATCTAACAAGATACACGACTTCTTCTTAAACATAGGATCTAATCTCGCCAGTAAAATCCCACGTACCAATGCCCGTGCCGGGGACTACCTAGAAGGGAATTTCCCAAATTCCTTCTATCTTGTACCAACTGAGCCCACGGAAGTCACCGCGATCATAAAGTCACTTAAAAATAACTCGGGGAATCTGTTGCATGTCCCACCATTATTGTACTTTTTAACAAGTCACTAGAAACTAGCACTTTCCCGACACTACTCAAGACAGCAAGGGTTACACCAATACATAAAGGTGGTGACCCTACAGACGTAAAACAATATAGGCCAATATCAAACTTACCATTGCTATCCAAAATCTTCGAGAAACTCGTGCACAGGAGACTATATTCATTTATAACGTCACAAAACATACTCAACCCCTGCCAATTTGGATTCAGGAAAAATAAAAGCGCTAATGATGCAATTATAAAAATGCTAGACCTGCTTTACACAGCATTGGAAAATAAGGAATATCCGCTAGGAATTTTTATTGACCTAGGAAGAGCGTTTGACACAGTAGACCACGGCATCCTACTCCACAAACTTGACCACTATGGTATAAGAGGCCATGCGCTTGCATATTTTAAATCCTACCTTTCTAATAGGTATCAGTATGTCACCATTAAAGACACAGCCTCATCAATACGGCCACTTGATACTGGAGTTCCGCAGGGAAGTGTCCTTGGACCCCTGCTCTTCCTCATTTACATCAATGATCTTCCAAACATATCCCAACACCTGAAACCCATTCTCTTTGCTGACGACACGACTTATGTCATCTCCCACCCTAATCTTGCCACCCTCAACACCATTGTTAACGAGGAGCTGCTCAAAATATCGACTTGGATGACAGCCAATAAACTTACATTTAACACTGGCAAAACCTACTATATTATGTTTGGTAGCAGAGCAGGTGTTGCGCAACTTAACCCTTTCAGGGTCCGTCCCGTAGATCTACGGCTTTACGGTGAGTGTCCAAACCGTAGATCTACGCCATGAGCTCAGCTCACTCTGATAAACTGTGAGTGGTACATTTGGGCCTAGATATGAGAGAATACATCTATGTGGTATGTGTGCACCACATAAAACAGATCCTGCAACACACTGTGTATAATGAGAGAAAAAAACTGAAATCACGATTTTTCGATTAAAACAGCGACTTTGCAGTGTTTTTTCGTATGTTTTTTATAGTTGTATTTGCGATTTCTTGGTCTCATTTGATAGAATGGAAGACATATTACAGAAATAGAGATGATTTTGATTGGTTTTAGCACTGGAAATGGCTTGAAACTGAGCTCAAAGTAGCGGAAATGTTAAATTTTTGCCGATATTCAAGAGTAAACAAACGACCTCACACATCTAATACACGTCAGCTGGTGGGTCTAATATACATTCACAAATATGGTGATGATATTTATACAATTATTACAGTATTGCATAACAGTAAATCTTCTATTTTTTGGTGTGAATAAAAATTCATTATGTGAATAAAAAATCAAAATGGAATTTATTTGTAAAGCCTTAAAATGTAACTAATGAACAGAGGAAATGTTAGTTTAGTTCCAGGAATACCTACATTGTTTATTCTGGAGCCTATTTTGAAATTGGAATATTTTGAACTTTGTGTTAAATTGGCCAAATTAACAATTTCCGATCACTTTATTTTGTAGTTGAAACAGTTGACTTGGCGATTTATTGTGCTCAATCGATAGAATAGAAGTAATACTAGTGAAATAGCTAAGAATTTGGTTGATTGGAATAATGTAATTGGCCTAAAATGGGAGTCAAAATCGGCAAAATCGCCGATTCGTAAATATCGCTGACACATCAAAATTCGCAAGAGCATAATTTCGTCAATTTTCCACCAAATTTCGTACTTTTTGTTTTATTACCTTCACAAAAAGATTCTCTACGATTTCATAAGAAAAAATAACAAATTTTTTTTTTGAAAATTCTTGGGACACTGGTGCGTGACTTCAGATTTTGGCCTTGGACCCTGAAAGGGTTAACATTAAGATCGACAACACTAATTGCCAGACATAATGAGGGCAAATTCCTTGGCCTATACCTCGACAACAACCTAAATTTCAGCACCCATATCCAACACATAACAAAAAAAAGTATCCAAAACTGTGAGGATCCTCTCCAGGATACGATACTACGTGCTGCAAACTGCCCTTCTCACACTATACCATTCACTTATACATATCCACACCTCACCTATGCTATCTGTGCTTGGGGTTCAACTGTAGCAACACACCTAAAGCCAATAATAACCCAACAAAAAGCCGCAGTAAGAATAATCACAGTAAGAATTCTTCACTATGTAATCCTTGAATTCCTTCACATATTTTTCAGCCGCTTTTTGGTCTGAACTGGCAGCCTCACCATGCCTTATCACACTATGTATGCCACTATGATTCTTAAATCTCTCAAACCAACCTTTGCTGGCCTTAAATTCACTCACATCACCACTAGTAGCAGGCATTTTTCTAATTAAATTGCCATGCAACTTCCTAGCCTTTTCACATATGATCGTTTGAGAGATGCTATCTCCTGCTATCTGTTTTTCGTTTATCCACACCAATAACAGTCTCTCAACATCTTTGAGTACTTGCAATCTCTGTTTCGAAAACAAACATGCACCTTTTGCAAGAACAGCTTCCTTGATTGCCGTTTTGTTGGCCACGATAGTAGCGATTGTTGATTGGGGTTTGGTATACAACCTGGCCAGCTCCGAGACACGAACTCCACTTTCGTACTTAGCAATTATCTTTCTTCATTTCCATGGTAATTTTCACCCTTTTTCCCACAGGGTTGGCACTAGAAGCTTTCCTGGGGCCCATGGTGACTTATTTTGCAGGTACAATCACTAAAAACACTGTGATAATATGAAATGTACCAAATGTATGCGTGGCTGCGACCGCACTGGCTGGCTTGTAAACACTGGCACGCATGGGGCAGCTGAGGCCACGCGTGGGGCGCGTCCCGGCCGAAACGCGTGAGGCGAGGCAAAATTTTTGCGTTAAAATGTATCGTATGGCAGATTTAACGTAACGCAATGCCATCGTAAGGAGGGGGTCCACTGTATAGGGATAGTCTATAGATCAACACAGTGTAAGAATTGTAATGCAGGTACAAGAAGGCAAGAAAGATATAAAATAAAGGAAGTGGCAGAAAACAGTGCTGAATACGATGGCCAAGAAGAAATCTTATAGAACTAGGAGGAAAATGGACTGATAACTTAAAATGATGGATGGCTAAGCAATGACTCAATCCCAACTACACAACTATTTAACCCTTTCACTATCGAGATCCCTGCTCACAAACTTGCTCTCAGCTCTACTGAAGGTATACTACCACCCCCCAAGATGCGATTCACAAGTCGACTAACATTCAGGTATCCACTTACTGCTAGGTGAACAGGGAAAGCAAGAGTAAGGAAACATGCCCAACGTTTCCATCCGTGCCAGGGATCAAACTACAGACACTCAGTATGTGAGAAGAGTGTACCACCAACTGCATTTCCAATTAAAATTATAACAAATAAATCATGTTTACCTTTCCTTGAAGAATTCAGCCAGTTCTTTGCTAGCAGTCTGTCCTTGCTTCATATTTTGGTACAACACATTCCACCCATTGTGCTCCTCCCCCTGAAAAAATAAATAAGAAGAATAAGAATACTAAGGATAATAAGAATAAGGAATAATAAGAATAAGTGTAATAATAATAATAATAATAATAATAATAATAATAATAATAATAATAATAATAATAATAATAATAATAATAATAATAATAATAATCACAAAATAAGTGGGACTTGAGCCCATGGAAGGAAAGTCTTAAAACTCACATGCCAGTGTGTTAACTACTGGACCAACTGGCTCCAATAGGATTCAGTGAACTAGGTATATGTTTGGTAAAAGGCCACAAGTGCAACTAATGTGGCATTTTACTGTGACAAAGTTTCACTCTGCAAGAGTTTTGTCAAGCCATTACAGACAATACATGGACACAGAGGGTATATATAGGCTCTGAGTTAGGTGATAAGATTTATTCGGATTTTTAACCCCGGAGGGCTAGCCACCCAGGATAACCCAAGTCAGTCAATGTGTCATCGAGGACTGTCTGTCTTATTTCCATTGGGGTCCTCATTCTTGTCCCCCCAGGATGCGACCCACACTAGTCGACTAACACCCAGGTACCTATTTGCTGCTAGGTGAACATGACAACAGGTGTAAGAAAACATGTCGAAATGTTTCCACCCAGTGTGACTTTGTAAATGGTCCAAGTCGGACCGAAACGTTGTCGTAAGCTTCTCTCTTTTATGTGCGGGTTATTTGTGTATGTTTCCACCCGCCGGGAATTGAACCCAGGCCCTCCGTGTGTGAAGCAAGAGCTTTAGCCACCAGGCCACCGGGGCCACCAGTGTAGTTGTAATACTAGTGGTAGTAGTAGTTGTAGTAATACAGGTGGTACAAAAACAATAAACCCTGCTGCTGCTGCTACTACATAAAAGAGGAGGAACACTGACAGAGGCCTTCTCAAATCCAACCACTAACAGAAATATTTACCCACCTCTCTTTATGCTACCCAAGCTACTTTAATAACTTTTTACTCATGTACAAGTCAACTTTTTCTACATGTATTACTACCACTAGCATTACAACTGCTATAGCTCACTCTAAGCCTATATATACCCTCTGTGTCCATGTATTGTCTGTAATGGGTTGAGAAAGCTCCTGCCACAATAAAATGTCATATTAGTTGCACTTGTGTCCTTTTACCTAACATATTGTCAGCAATTCTATCAATATTAATTAATACAACTAGGTACATTTCTATACACCATAGGGAGGTTAGCATGGGCCCCCACTGTGACCATAAATGTAAGTTTTTACAGATGAATCCCACACCAGCATGGCTGCGGCGTGCTCTAGCTCAAGCCCCTCCAAAACTGCCATCACGACAGTGGCTCACACTCCAATACTTTTGAGTGTGAGCAAGGTAACATTTATGGAGGGATTCATAGAAACCATTTAGCTGGACACGAGTCCTAGAGGTGGGAAGCAGTGGCGAACCTACATTTTTGGGGCCCTGAAGCTTACTCTTATGGGAGCCCCTTCACAACTCCTCATACAGTAGACCCAAAATTTTTAAGCAACGTGGACTAAAGTCACTTCTGGGGCCCCTCTGGGATTAGGGGCCCTAAATCTTAAGCTTCATTATTCTCACAGTGGATCTACCACCTGGAGTTTGCCGGGAGAGGGTTTCGGAGGTCAACGCCCCCGCAGCTCGGTCTAAGGCCTCATGGTGGATCAGGGTCTGATCAACCAGGCTGTTACTGCTGGCTGCACGCAAGCTGACGTACGAACCACAACCCGGTTGGTCAGGTACTGACTTCAAGTGCCTGTCCAGTGCCTTCTTAAAGACAGCCAGGGGTCTATTGGCATTCCCCTTTATGTATGATGGGAAGCAGTTGAACAGTCTTGGACCCCAGACAATTATTGTGTTGTCTCTCAATGTACTCATGGCGCCCCTGCTTTTCATAGGGGGAATGTTGCATCTCCTGCCGAGTCCTTTGCTTTCAGAGGGAGTGATTTTCGTGTGCAGGTTTGGTACCAATCCCTCCAGGACCTTCCAAGTGTATATTATCATGCATCTCTCTCACCCATGTTCCAGGGAATACAGATCAAGAACCTTCAATCGTTCCCAGTAATTTAGGTGTTTTATCGTACTTATGTGTGTTGTGAAAGTTCTTCGTACACTCTCCAGGTCTGCAATGTCGCCAGCCTTGAAGGGAGCAGTTAGTGTACAGCAGTATTCCAGCCTAGAGAGAACAAGCGATTTGAAGAGAATCATCATGGGCTTGGCGTCCCTAGTTTTGAAGGTTCTTATCCTATCATTTTCCTGGCAGATGAGGTAGATACATTGTTGTGGTCTTTGAAGGCAAGATCCTCTGATATTATCACTCCTAGGTCCCTCACATTACTTTTCCACTCTATTATATGGTTAGAATTTGTCGTATACCCTGATACATTTTTAATTTCCTCAAGTTTCCCATATACGAGTAGTTGAAATTTCTCCTCATTGAACATCGTATTGTTTTGAGTGGCCCATCTGTAGATTTGGTTGATGTCCGCTTGGAGTCTTGCAGTGTCTTTGATGGAGGTCACTGCCATGGTAATCTGGGTGTCATCCGCAAAGGAAGACATGGAGCTATGGTTTACATCACTGTCTATGTCAGAAATTTCTAATGAGGAATAGAATGGGAGCGAGTACTGTGCCTTGTGAAATAGAGCTTTTTACCGTGGCTGCCTGGTGGGAAGTGCAGCACGCCATCTCTGAAGGAGGGATAGGGATGTTGAAGTTTGAAGAGCCATCTGAACTGTTACATCACCACATTTCTGGTAAGACAGTGATTAAATGGTGAAAGGGGTTCTCTTTTTCGGGTCACTCTAACTCAGTTTGAGAAAAAAATTGTGATTATGAGTGAGATGGGAAATGAGAGGCAATCAGGTTCAATTTATGGAAGCAGAGGACCAATTTCTAGGATCATGATCCTTTCACGAGTATTCCATATATCAAATTAGCAAAACTATCAGCAAGGATTAACCTAATCTAAACATAAATTATGTTGTTGGGAGCTTGAGTCCCATGGCCTGGTAAGCAACAATCTCACCTCACACACTGAGAGTTCATGGCTCAAAACCCAGCTGGGTGGAAACATTGTGTTTCCCAACACCTGCTGTCCTCGTTCACATAGCAAGCAATAGGTACTTGGGTGCTAGTCACTTGGTGTGGGTCGCATCCTGGGGGACAAGATTAGAGGACCTCAATGGGAATAAAATGGACAGTCCTCGTTGATGTACTAACTTTCTTGGGTTATCCTGGGTGGCAAAATCTTATCTTGTCTGGTTAATTTGCTGATGTTGGCAGACTGAAAGTTGGTGGTAGGTAACTTTGCCAGATATTCAAGAAATAACCAAATAAAATAGTGTACACTACCATTATTAGTTAGCTGTGGATATTTTGAGACATTACAATGAAAACTAAGTGCTAAACCCACAAGGGTCATACAGTGCTGCATTTTATGGCTTATATGGAGTAAATAAAGAAGTGAACCAAGTAATGACTATCACACACACAGGACCAACACTAATTATGATAATATATTTGAGCATTCATCATAAAAATCAGAAAGCACTAAACCAGCGGTTACACAGTGTCTGGGGAATGGGAGGCATTCAAGTTTGATCCAAGGAAGGGGAGGATAAGTCCAGTTCCTAGGATCAAGAACCCCCACACCGGCATTAAAGTACCGTCCTTGGGGGTACAAATCTAAATGCTAATTTAAAGTTTTATGCTTACTTGCACGAGGTTATTTACACCTCATATAATATTAATCTTTGTTGCTGGTTTTATATAGTAAATGACGTATAAATGAAGTCAACCCAATAAATTCAAGCAATATTACTTCATTGACGTCCTTAAACTTCTAATTTACCCAACTCACATCAACAATTTTAGTAATTGAAGGCAGAAAACTTGTCATTTTACTTGTAATACAGCATGCTATGCTGAGAGAGCAAGAAAGTAACACATTTAAGTATAAACAGCATTACAAGAGTTGTATTAAGTGTGTGGGGCCACAATGTGGGTGGATCAGCTGGCCATCACATTACTGCCAGTGATGGCACCTAGCAAACACTCTCACAACACTCCTTAACACACCCTGGCACTCACAACTCCAGGGATACTTATTAACCAGAGGGAGAGCAGCCGTACCCAGAAGTAGTCACAAAAATCGACTGCCATGGTGTGTGAAGCAGCAGTCTAGTGCAGCAGTGTAGTGGGTGGCTGCTGCTGCTGCTGCTGCTGCTGCTGCTGCATCATAACAAACACTGGTAACATGGCCGCCTCACCACCTACTGTAGCCTGATCATCATCCTCAACACTAGTACACTCTAAACTCTCACACATCTCGCATGATATGTTATCATTATTATCGTTCTTGCGTCCACGGGGAGCGCTAATCCCGTAGGGGTCATATTGGAGGGGGCCGGGGGGGGTTAGGGGAATGGTTGGTATTCAGGATCCGGATGGAAATAAGTTACTGACTTTTTGAGGGATTTATCCTAGGTAATTTATATATCTGTTACTATGTATGATAATTGTACTTATGTGTACTTGTACCCAAATACTTAACCCAGTGGAAATAATTAAGGACTCCAATGGAAATAAGTCAGTCTGACTTAATTGGGTAATGCTAGGTAATTTACAGTATGTGCCCCTCAATGGAGGTTCCTTGATGCTCGTGAAGGGCTCTTGATCTAGGGAATTGGATCTGTGCTCCAGTTCCCTGAATTGAGCCTGAATGCCTTCCATCCCCCCCACATGCGCTGTATAATCCTATAGGTTTAGCGCTCCCCATAATTATAATAATAATATTACACTATGTATAATAATTGTACTTGTGAGTACCTGTGCGTAAATAAACTTACTGACAGGTTTTATTCAAGGAACTGCAGCGAAGGTCCATTTCCTTAGATCAAGAGCCCCTCACCAGGATCAAGGAACCTCCCCGAAAGATTACACGTGATTAATAAAAAAAACCACACACACACTGGCAGAATGAAAACCTTAACCAAGTTAAGATTCACGTGGGCATAACAATAACTGACACGGGTTATAGCTACTAAGAAATGCAAGTGTGATATAAATTTGAATGCCATGCGTAGTAGGTCGATAGAGAGCAACCACCCAGGTGGTGGATGCTGCCGTCTTGCACTCTGACACACACAACGATTAAGGAGTTTATTTCCTTGCATAGTTTACAATGTGTAATTACAATATTGATTTGTAATTGCACATATCGAACTTAAGCTGAAGGAATCTTACAGGAGACAAGAATCACAGGAACAACTAAAACCCATAAAGGAAATTTAAAAAAAAATACTTCTCTTATGCCAAATCTAAGGGAAAAACAACATCCAGTATTGGGCCCCTGCTTAGGCGAGATGGGACATACACAGATGACAGTTAAGAAATGAGTGAGATACTTAAGTCCCAAAACGAGCCGCTGCCCAGACTAAGTGTCGACACTCCAAATGAATTCTTTATGAACGAGACCCAAATTTTGGTTATCTCGGATATTATCCGAACACCACAAGACATTGAAAAGGCAATAAATGACATGCCCATGCACTCTGTCCCAGGCCCAGCCTCGTGGAGCTCCGTGTTCATCAAGAACTGCCTTCAGCATTCTATGGAGAGGGAGCATGGACACAGGGGTCATCCCACACTCACTTAAACAACAGACATAGCCCCACTCTACAAAGGCGGCAATAAAGCAATTGCAAGAACTACAGACCGATAGTACTAACATCCCATATCATTAAAATCTTTGAGAGGGTTCTAAGAAGCAAGATAGACAACTACCTAGATAACCATCAATTACACAACCCAGGGCAACACGGGTTTAGAGCACGTCGCTCCTGCCTGTCCCAGCTACTGGATCACTATGACAAGGTCCTGGATACTGTAGAGGATAAACAAAATACAGATGTAGTATATACAGAATGTGGAAAAAATTTTAATTTTCTGAAGCTATAGTGCCTAATAGGTGTTTAATGTGTCGATATGAGTCAAAAATGTATTTGACAATAGGATAGAACCAAGAGCTCCCTTTGCGGATGTGCGGGGGTAGAGGTCGACTCGAGGCATGGGAGAGGCGGGAGTGTTTTGAATGTAGTGAGGAGGCTGGGAAAGCATGGAACCAGGAAATTGGCATTCACGGCGGCCTAAGGATTAATATAGGCCTCATTTCATAATAGGAAGTGTTGTAACTGTTCCTGGTGGAGAGTGAGGGAATGTGATTTACGGGACCACCGTAATAGAGTGGTAAAATGAGTGAATAAGGGTAGGACCGGGTAACTGGCACGTCGCCATGGACTGTGTCCCGGGGAAAATTACCCTTGGTTTAATCATCACTCATCGGTCTCAGATCTTAATGGAGTGATCTCTAATGTGTATAATAATTATGAGACATTAAATCGTCTTGTGAATTGTAATGTAATTAATGATAATAACGCTAAGTTAAGAGAATGCTTGAAGTGAAATAAGTCGCCTTGCTCCGAGTGAACACGCTAGACCACGTTGTTCCCGTCACGAGGAAAGTGAAGTTCATTGAGTCACGACTTCTAAACCGGGACAAACCAACGGATACCTCGTTCTGCTGGAATAAGAACCGTGTCGGTGTAGCAGGACATCGAAATGAGATGGTGAATGGAGGAAATAAGGAGTATCAATCACCCACAGTTAAGTAACTCTTCTAGTTATAGCAGACTGATACTGGCCAGTTAGGTATGTTGTAATTGGATAGCTTATGGGTGATCCAGCTACATCAAGTGACCCCCAGAGAATATCTGGTAAGTGGTGGGATTATATACAAATGTTTTTCTTTGATGGATATATCCATGTGTAACCTACCCCCCCCCCCCCTTCATTCAGTTACACTAATATAATCTATACAGTCCACAATTAATTAGTAGCGCCGTACTTGTGGGTGCTACCCAATTTATACTGGTCTCGGATAGATATGGATAAGATTGTGAGGGTCGAGGGGCCACCTGCAGTGACCAGAGGTGGTTAAGTTTTCTCACATGTCTACACGGGTGACTACGGTAAACAATATTGTTGTTGTCTCCCAAGGAGATTACTCGTATGCATGTAATGTTGAGGTATGTACAAGTAATCACGCCTAGAAAAATTTCCACATCTGCCCACTTCGCTTTATGGAAAATACTGTATATATTTACGGAAATACAGTATTTTATATGTAAATTGATAGTTTATATTGTATTTAATAAAAATTATATTATAAAAATGGGAAGCTCTGCGCCTGCGCAGAGGTCATTCACCATTGTGTTTTTGAATGAGCCAAGAAAACGTTAGTGAAAATAAGGTGTATAATTTTCGTCGCTCTAGAGGTTATATTGGGCTTACACCTCTCAAATAGGAGCCAAAATTGTTGGATGTGCATTTCTGCATAATTTGAGCATTAAATCGATGTACAGGAGTCAGGAATCGCGGGAAGAACTAAAAGCCATAAATGAAATCGAAAGAAACCCAAAGTATTTCTTCTCCTATGCCAAATCAAAATCGAGAACAACGTCCAGTATTGGGCCCCTACTTAAACAAGATGGGTCTTACACAGATGACAGCAAGGAAATGAGTGAGCTACCCAAGTCCCAATATGACTCAGTTTTTAGCAAGCCGCTAACCAGACTGAGAGTCGAAGATCAAAATGAATTTTTTATGAGAGAGCCACAAAATTTGATTAACACAAGCCTATCCGATGTTATCCTGACGCCAAATGACTTCGAACAGGCGATAAATGACGTGCCCATGCACTCTGCCCCAGGGCATGGAACTCTGTGTTCATCAAGAACTGCAAGAAGCCCCTATCACGAGCCTTTTCCATCCTATGGAGAGGGAGCATGGACACGGGGGTCGTCCCACAGTTACTAAAAACAACAGACATAGCCCCACTCCACAAAGGGGGCAGTAAAGCAACAGCAAAGAACTACAGACCAATAGCACTAACATCCCATATCATAAAAATCTTTGAAAGGGTCCTAAGAAGCAAGATCACCACCCATCTAGAAACCCATCAGTTACACAACCCAGGGCAACATGGGTTTAGAACAGGTCGCTCCTGTCTGTCTCAACTATTGGATCACTACGACAAGGTCCTAAATGCACTAGAAGACAAAAAGAATGCAGATGTAATATATACAGACTTTGCAAAAGCCTTCGACAAGTGTGACCATGGCGTAATAGCGCACAAAATGCGTGCTAAAGGAATAACAGGAAAAGTCGGTCGATGGATCTATAATTTCCTCACTAACAGAACACAGAGAGTAGTCGTCAACAGAGTAAAGTCCGAGGCAGCTACGGTGAAAAGCTCTGTTCCACAAGGCACAGTAGTCGCTCCCATCTTGTTCCTCATCCTCATATCCGACATAGACAAGGATGTCAGCCACAGCACCGTGTCTTCCTTTGCAGATGACACCCGAATCTGCATGACAGTGTCTTCCATTGCAGACACTGCAAGGCTCCAGGCGGACATCAACCAAATCTTTCAGTGGGCTGCAGAAAACAATATGAAGTTCAACGATGAGAAATTTCAATTACTCAGATATGGTAAACATGAGGAAATTAAATCTTCATCAGAGTACAAAACAAATTCTGGCCACAAAATAGAGCGAAACACCAACGTCAAAGACCTGGGAGTAATTATGTCGGAGGATCTCACCTTCAAGGACCATAACATTGTATCAATCGCATCTGCTAGAAAAATGACAGGATGGATAATGAGAACCTTCAAAACTAGGGAGGCCAAGCCCATGATAACACTCTTCAGGTCACTTGTTCTATCTAGGCTGGAATATTGCTGCACACTAACAGCACCTTTCAAGGCAGGTGAAATTGCCGACCTAGAAAATGTACAGAGAACTTTCACGGCGCGCATAACGGAGATAAAACACCTCAATTACTGGGAGCGCTTGAGGTTCCTAAACCTGTATTCCCTGGAACGCAGGAGGGAGAGATACATGATTATATACACCTAGAAAATCCTAGAGGGACTAGTACCGAACTTGCACACGAAAATCACTCACTACGAAAGCAAAAGACTTGGCAGACGATGCACCATCCCCCCAATGAAAAGCAGGGGTGTCTCTAGCACGTTAAGAGACCATACAATAAGTGTCAGGGGCCCAAGACTGTTCAACTGCCTCCCAGCACACATAAGGGGGATTACCAACAGACCCCTGGCAGTCTTCAAGCTGGCACTGGACAAGCACCTAAAGTCAGTTCCTGATCAGCCGGGCTGTGGCTCGTACGTTGGTTTGCGTGCAGCCAGCAGCAACAACC